CATAATACCCGATCTTTATCTGCCGGTAGCTATTACATATTAAACTCTTCTAGGCTAAATCAACATGAAAACTCATTCTCAAAGATTGGTTGTAAAATTTCTCGTTGAAATTTAAAACTTAACTAAATAACTTTAATAATCTATTTAATTATCTACTGTAAATAACTATCATCTACATATGTAAATGTAAGTGACTTTTAAATTTTTTAATGTCGCCCACTAGCTTATCGCTAAAAACATAGACACTTAAATAAAGTTTTTCATTTTTTTCATTTCATTTCATCTCATTTCATTTCAATAGCATCCCAGGAAACTTAAGGAATCTTCCAAAAAATATTTTCAAGAAAAAGATAACAACAAGATTATTTTAAAATCTTCAAGTTCAGGATAGTTATGTTGACGTAGAACGAATAATCAATGTGTTGAAAGTTAAATCCAGTTAATAGTAGAGTATAACTTATGTATTCTATTTAATTGTCATGTGTTTCTGTTTCTCTATTTTTATCTCATACTATCATTTGTGCTTTACTGATTTAATATTTAATTTCTGTTTCTTGTATATTTATTGAATCTTTTGTTGAGCCAAATTTTACTTAAGATGTTTTAATGTCCACACACTACCCGCTGAGACTAGCTCTGCTATTTGTGAGTAGTGTGTCATTATGCTAAGTGTCATGTCATGTCTGATTACAATAAAATCTGATTACAATAAAATCATGAAGTCCACAATTTTGAAACGTGAGAAAAATCAGTCCCACCCTTTTTCACCCCCACCCCATACAATCTTGTTAACTCTGTCTAATAAGTGCTAGGGTGGGACGGATTGATGCTCATTCTAGGAAATTTGGAAAAACATGGAAATATTGTTTATTTTTCTTATATAATTTACATCTTCCTGGATTTAATCCTGGAAGCTTAAAAATCAGGTGCACATCAAGACCTGAACACTCAGACATAGCCCAGTAGAGATTGGGTCATAGAAGTGGTCTGATGGCAACTGTGTACACGTGCAAAGCCCTGGGGGGGAGGGGGGAGTAGATTTTGGACACTTAACTCACTTTTTTCCAGAAAGCTCCTCTTAGCAGGCAATTGTTTTGGGCTAAATTTCACGGCTGGAAGCCAGCCATATGAGCTTGCTCTTTGTTGGTGTTGAGTGGTCAAGTGCCAATGGCACAGGGTTGATCATGAGAAGGGCTTTTACTTGACAATAGACAGAGAGTTGAGATTGGTTTTGGAGCAGGCTTATTACTGCAGAACTAATGGAGAATGTTTTTTATCTAGTAATGACTATGCCTTGAATGTAATCATAATTATGAGATATATATAATTAATCATATATAAAAAATATTTTTGAAGCCTCCACAAAATTATCTCTAAGGAACTGATGTATCTATAGACAATTGGGAGTCAGGGAATCTGGTTGGTGTCCTGAGTAGACTACACCTTGCTTTTAACAGAAATCTGATTTTTTTTTTTGGAAACTTAATAGTTCAAACCCAGTTAACAATGTAATAATTTGGATGTATCAACAAAGTTGAAATGGTAAATTGGCCACCGTAATGATTACAAAAGCTGATGTTTCGAGCGTTAGCCCTTCCTCGGAGCGAAGGCTCGAAACGTCAGCCTTTGTAATCATTACGGTGGCCAATTTTCCATTTCAACTTTGTTGATATATCCAAATTATTTCGTTATTCCCACCGATGCAGCCCCAAACAGTTTCTTTCGAAACTTTCAGCCTTTATCCAGTTAACAATGACCTTGCAATTTAGTAGAAGACCCCAGTCTTTATGTACCATGCAGAGTTTGATTTCCTTATTATTGAAAGCTGGTTTCATTCAACCATATCTTGGGTCAAATTAAGTGATATGATCAGACACTTATAGGAGGGGGACATTGGGGTCTATTAGAAATGGCAAAACCTTAGAAAAAAAAATCATCCAAAACTGCAAAAAAATCTATCAAAACCAAGAATCACATGCAAAACTATCCAAACTGTTAAATTTTCACATCCCAGTTATCAAAACCCTAATCGATCCTATTTAGTGGTAATAAGTGGAGCATACAGGGGTTTCACAGTTATTTGAGAATAGTGGAGGTGAATAATTGCTGCTCAGATCAAAAACAAAGGGGAACCCAAAAAGGAAAAACAGAAAAACCACATTGGGAGACCAAATCCGAAAACCTGTTAATACTTTTGACAAAAACCGAAAAAACCAAATATTAAAAACCGGAAAATCTGCAAACTGCGATGAACATCAAAACCAAGGAAGGGAAGATTTTTGGCACAAACATTTGAGACTTGTTTGCTGTCTCAGGTGTTATCTATTTTTGTCTCAAGAAATGATATTTTGTGACAAATAACACCGATGTGTATATCATAAAAGCCCTGGGATCCTGTGACTGTAAAATTGTTTTGACACATCAAAAATGATTAGTATATAGGCATTAGAACTGTGGGTGTGTTTACACCAGTTGAAAACATATATTTTTCCAAGCTCTGTTTAAAATAGTGGTTCTCTCTTTTTCCTTGACCTGTACCTTTGATGTAATGAGCTGTGTATTTACACAACTATTATCAGTGGCCCAAGAAATGATATAGAAGTCTTAGAACTTCTAAACAAACTCACATGTGGCAAATTTCTTTCTTATTGTTTGCCAATAATTTTTCTGTTTGCAGGGTACAGAGATCAAATATATCGCGATGGGGATCGCTTGGTTGTTGTTCACTCTCATGAACTACATCCTCCTGCACTGCCTCGTAAGTAGATCTTTCAGATCCCTAAGATTATCTCCCAATCATATTATCTTTTATGACAGGAGGGAACCACGTGCACTGTAAGTACCTCCAGTCGTCCCACTGGCAGATCTAGGGAAGAGGCCCAATAGGTTTGGCCCCTCCCCCCCCCTCCCCCCATTTTGGGTAACAAAATAAATGCAGGAGAAAGAAAAGCCAGCAGGTGTATGAACTCAAATAAACTCCTTGGCCTCCTTATTGGATCCACAACTGCATCCCATACACCAAATGCTAATATGGCGTCCAATCTGAATTGCTATTGTTCTGGATTGACTAGCCTCGTCTTCACGTGGAAATACAAAAGGATTATTACATGTGTGAGAGGCTAGTCAGTCCGGAACAATGGCAACTCAAATTGGACGCCATATTTGCATTCAGTGTATAAATCTTTGGAAAAGTTTTTAATGGATTTCTGAGGGACAAGGGAGGTACTTACAGAACATGCAGTTTCCATCATGAAGCAATGTACAATGTACCAAGATTTTAAAATATTTACATCTGGCTTTCACAGTAAAGCAGAGTACAGGTTTGCAGGTAGCTTTTGGTTACTACTGTTTTACTAAGTTTACATTGATCTCTTGACTATTTTTTCGATATTTTTGACTCTGTTAATCGTTATTCTCTTATCCGTCATTCAGCCATTTGTTGAAAAGTTTATTACTATTATTATTATTGTTATTATAGTTATCATATTTATTGTTTTTATTATCATTATTATAATTATCATCATTAGTAGTTGTAGTAATAGTAGTATTAATCTTTTTTGCTTGCTCATTCATCATGGAGAGAACAACAAGTCAATTTGCATTTAGACATGGTTTGATGCTACTCTGGATTAAGAATTTAATGAATGTAACCAGGGAATTACAATTCATAGACCCAACATTTTGACACTCCTGTCTAGTGCCTTCATCAGGGGTGAATTAATCATTGCAACCCTGCCTGAAAAGGTTTTTATATACTTATGTATTTATACCTTATGCAATGTGAAAGATCAGA